GGGGGGGGGGGCGGCTCAGCTTGTATTACAAAAATAGAGTTTAGAGACTGAAGTCTGGGGGGGAAAATGGAAGAAAATGGAAGTTTGTCACCCCAGGTCTATAATGCTAATAAATGGGCGGATTCAGCCAAAAGGCTCAAGCTGCTTTCGAAACGGTGATGTCATACCTTTTTTAAAAAGCATAGTGACCATTAGCAGTCTGACCTCTACCTGATCCTAGGACGAAAAATAAAGAGTAGCCCAGAGCAGCAGAATGGGAGACAACCAAAAGAGGAGCCCTTCCTCCGTTACCCCAAAGGTACCCATAGCCAGAGACACCGCAGGACTTGAGACCACGGCTTCAGGTGGCCAGTCCGAAAACAAGCAAACAGTCTCAGCTGCATGACCTCAGGCCTCTTGTTTCGGTTTTGTTTGTTTGGGTGATTTCCCACAAGCACTGCTCCGAGCTCACTCCTTCCTTTTGCCCCATGGTACGTGTCAATTTCACACAAGCTCACTCCTCCCTTTTGCCCCTATGGTCCGTGTCAATTTCACACAAGCTCACTCCTCCCTTTTGCCCCATGGTACATGTCAATTTCACACAAGCTCACTCCTCCCTTTTGCTCCATGGTCCGTGTCAATTTCACACAAGCTCACTCCTCCCTTTTGCCCCATGGTACATGTCAATTTCATACAAGCTGCTGCGCTGCCTCATTTCGCCTCCCAGCTTCCTGCAATTTTCCCCACGTCTACTCAATCCTCAAAAAACAGGATTGAGTAGACACGGGGAAAATCGCACGAAGCAGCTTGTGTGAATTGACACGTACCATCGGGGCAAAAGGGAGGCGTGAGCTTGGAGTGGGGTTTTTTTCTGCTCAAACATACCAATGTGGTCAGAAACCACGATTTATCACATCCTGCCTCACTCACAGCATTTCAGGATATGAAAGCAGAAAACTGTCTTTTTTTTTAAGCCCAAATTTATAGCCTTTTGCCTCTGCCGCTGAATGCCCTTTTAAAAAATAAAGTTTACATCACTGTTCACGTTCTTACACCAACAGTGTCTTTTGGATTCCAGCCTGCAATGGCTGCCTATTTAAGGACCACCTAATGATGAGTACATAATACACAACAACATACAAGCTGAAGTCCTCCTGTGGATGCGTAGTCTCCAGGGAGATCTCCCGTGGTGCTTGGAATGAGGACTTCAAGCAGAAATCAATCATCAGCTGAGCAAATCCCGACGGACAATCGATAAAGACCGTTTCGAGAAGACCCTTTATCAAGAGCTGACAACCTTCTATTAATTTGGTCAGACACCCCTTATCAGAAGGGAAGCTTCGGCTGGTGCAGAATGTGGCCGCCAGGCTGTTAATGGGGCTTTCCCATGAGAAAGCACATCCAACCTGTGCTGAAGGCACTGCACTGGCTACCTATAGCGTACTAAATTCGCTTCAAGGTGCTGGTACTTACCTTTAAAGCCCTTTATGGTCAGAGACCTACCTACCTGAGGGACCGCCTTTTCCCCACATGCTCCCCAGAGAGCACTATGGTCAGGGTCACAAAATCGTCTGGCCCTCCCTGGTCCTAAGGACACCAGGCTGGTATCGACTAGGACCAGGGCCTTTTCTGTGGCAGCTCCAACTTGCTGGAATGAGCTTCCGGAAGAGATCAGGGCCCTGCGGGACTTTTCACCGTTCTGCAGGGCCACGAAAACGGAACTCTTCCACCAGGCATTTAGGTAAGGAGCTGCATTCCATCATCTATGCCCTGTGCCAATACTATTTCCAGCCTGAGCCTGCCGATAGTGGATCTTACCGCTGGATGTATGTTTACATGCACTTTACCACAGCTGTACTGCCATCACTATGTTAACTGTTTTAATAATCATGTTGTGTATTTTATAATGATATTTATTGCTGTTTTATCTATTGCTGTTTGTGTAAGCCGCCCTGAGCCTGCCTTGGCGGGGAGGGCGGGGTAAAAATCAAATAAATAAATAATGGAACTAGAAGAAGCATCATTTGCTTGCTATGTATAACTTATGCAGGTTGCAGTACACCACATCTCTTGTCACAGAATACAGGATCTCTTGATGCAGAACTTGGGCTGCTTTTGTTATGGGGTACAGATGGCCCTGACTAGAACGATGGGTTTGTCTGGGAAGATAGCAGGAGAGAAAAACGTGACAAGGAAGCCTGAAGAAGAAAACTTATCACTCTCTGTTTCTCAATAGCAAGAAACCGTGAGGGCAGTCTTTCAAACGCCATACAAAAAATGGGGAATCTTACATTCTAAGGGATGGTTTCAGTGGCATTTACACCTTTGCATGGAGATGGAAGAAAAGCCCTTGTGGCAATGCTCCCATGTAGAAAGTTAAATTTTAAAAGTTCTTACGACATACGCAGCCCTCCACACGCACATCTCCGGTACGATGTGTCTCTTCGAAGAAGGGCAAAGTTGGCAAGCCAACTGCTACAATTCCCCTGGGTGATGCATTTGCAAAACGGAGCTTCTAAAATATTATTTTTCACCATATGTAGTGTTGCCACATATCAGGATTTTCCACCGCCTGTATGTGGGATAAAACCACACTGAACCCCTGATGAATTGGCAGCATATTCTACAGTCTGACTAATGGGACCACTGCCATGTTCGCCATGTGTTTTCCTACTCAATTGGAATCCCTGTTATTAGCCATGTTCATTCTTCACAACCCCATGCACGAAGCTCTCTCCCACCCTGGAGCTCCCCTCCTCACTGGGTGCCAGGCTGCCAAAGAAGAAGGAGGAACACAGGGACTAGGTTCTAAGGACCCATGGAGAAGGAAAGTCATGTGACTGGTTCTCACGTGACGTTTGGGCTGGGCCTGGGTGGTGTGGAGGGCAAGAAGGTACAGACGAACACAAAAGAGGACGGAAGAGAGGAAAGGGTGGTCAAAAGTTTTGCACATGCTAATTTATACCCATAGCTACAAATGTACACATCGTTGCATATGTGCATAGAGTGCTGTTAAGTCGCAGTCGGTTTGTGGCAACCCTGTAGAGTTCTCAAGGCAAGAGATGAACAGAGGTGGTTTGCCATTGCCTGACTCTGTGTAGCAACCCTTGACTTCCTTGGTGGTCTCCCATCCAAATATTAACCGGGGCTGACCCTGCTTAGCTTCCAAGATCAGGCCATCCAGGTTAGGGCACATATCGTCACTATAAGCTAAATACAAACAAGAAGAAGAAGAGGAAGAAGAAGTAGAGGAAGAGGAGAAGATTGAATTTATACCCTGTCCTTCATTCAAAGTCTCAGAGCGACTTACAAACTCCTTTCCCTTCCCCTCCATTCAACAGACACCCTGTGAGGTAGGCGGGGCTGAGAGAATTGCTCTGAGAGAACAGCTCTGAGAGAACTATGGCTTGCCCAAGGTCATCCAGCAGCTGCAAGTGGAGGAGTGGGGAATCAAACCTGGTTCTCCCAGATCAGAGTTCGCACACTTAAACCACTACACCAAACTGGTTCCCACTGAAGAAAGCTGACGGGAAGGAAGTTGACTCCTTTGAAACGTGGTGTTGTAGGAGAATCTTGCAGATACCACGGGCCGCCAAAAAGCCACGTAAATGGGTTCTAGACCAAATCAAGCCTGAGTTCTCCTCAGAAGCTAAAAATGACTACACTGAGGCAATGGTACTTTGGTCCCATTACGAGAAGACCAGAGTCGCAGAAAAAGGCAATAATGCCAGGAAAAATTGAAGGCAGAAGGAAAAGAGGAAAACCCGACATGAGATGGGTGGACTCAATCAAGGAAGCCAAGGACCTCCGTTTGCAAGATGGGAGCCAAGCTGTTCACGATAGGCAGGGGTCATTTCCTGCGGGAGCGCACAGGAGCGGAGCTCCGGCAGTAAGGAGCCCAGGGGGCAGGCACATGTAACAAACCCCACCCCCTGCTCCCAGCAGCCCTCAACTGGGCCATGAGGAGCAAGAAGCAGCCAGGTAAGTTGCAGAACTCCCACACACACACACACCTTCAGGGACAAGCTCTCCCTCCTCTGTGAGGGCAGATCTGCATGCCCACCCCCCCAATAGCTAGCAATCCAAAACAGTCCAGTGGAGTCTGAGTGGTGGGTGTTGCCTTCTGACACACTTCCGGTGATGTCAGGGGGTGTGGCATATGCAAATAAGTTATGCTAATAAGTTGTGCTAATGAGCTCCTGCAACTCTTTTTCTACAAAATGACCCCTGACGATAGGACCTTTGGGAGGACATTAATAAATTCATAGGGCCGCCATAAGTCAGAAGTCGCTTGACGTGACTTAATACACACACACACACACAAATAGAAACGCAGCTCTCCCTCCTGCTGGCTCTGTCCGTTCTCTGACTGCTAACTAGATGGAGAACTTTCCAAGGACCCTCCTGCTCGTCCTTCTTATGAATCATCCTCTCTCGTTCACCTTGAAATGCCTGGTTAATTTTAGTCGCCATCCTTTCCAATGGCAGGCAGCTTTGGGTCCCCTGCACCTACTCAGGAATCAAGCCTTCACAGCCACTTCAGCTGATTTTACTGGACAGACGCAGAAAGACAGAAGAAAGAAAGAAAGAAAGAAAGAAAGAAAGAAAGAAAGAAAGAAAGAAAGAAAGAAAGAAAGAAAGAAAGAAAGAAAAAAAGAAAGAAAGAAAGAAAGAAAGAAAGAGCTGTCTTCTGAAAAAGAGGGCACCTGGCCACCACAGTCGGGGAAGGAGGCAGAGGGAATTTGCACCAAGTACTTTTAACCTTCTCTCATTCATCCGTCTGCAGTATCTTTGTGTTACAGCCAACAACATTTCCATGATTTTACAACCTCTGAAGGTGCCTTGCTCACGGCCACAAGAAGAGGGAGAAAGGCTGATCCCACACCTTCAGACTAGGCTTTAGCATAAATACCACTGTTGCATTTCCCTTCAAACCTCTTTCATAATGTAGAGCTCCATAAATATTGCATCGCATTTCCATTCGGCGTACAAATACACTTGGAAAAAATATATATACCTACCTGTTCACTTTTGCAAATCCACACGTGGCTTCCTTGCAGCAAGGTAAAGATTTTGGCCTTGTATCCCTTCAGTTCCAGATACCCACTCTTCTCAGGAGGAGTAGCAATGCTCCGTGTGCGAGAAGCTTCAGGTGGCAACTGCAGAGTACCAAGTATTGTATTAATCCAGTCGTTTCTTTCATCTTAAAGAGAAACAAGCAAAAAAACCCCCATAAAATAATGAATTGTGCATCGTTATAAACACTTTTTAATACAATTTCAGAATTCAATTTTTAACACTCTGGTTATGGCTTCCTCTTATTACTGTTGCGAGTCTCAGAGATACTAAGGGAAGGACGAATATAAATTTGGAGGTAAAGCAAACAAACAAACACACTTGGGAAACCAATGTCAATTTGACACCACTTAGAATTGCCATACAGTTTATTCTGTAACACACAATTCTATTAGACTTGATGGCGAAGGAAAAAACTTTTCACACGACAGGTCTACTTGTGCGTACAGTATGACAGTGGGGGAGGGGTCATGAAAGTACCCAGCAGTGTTCCCTCTAAGCTGAGTTAGTGTGAGCTAGCTCACAGTTTCTTAGCCTCTGGCTCACACATTTTTGTCTTAGCTCAGGAAGGAGGGCTCCAGAGCAAACTAATTTATGCAGCAGCCAAGTCACTCGCTCACAACTTTAATGCCAGTAGCTCACAAAGTAGAATTTTTGCTCACAAGACTCCACAGCTTAGAGGGAGCACGGGCACCCAGCTCCTCTTTACTGTCAGTATAGCCATACCTTGTGGTTCTTCCAATCCCAGGAGAGAGTTAGGCTTTGGGGGGGGGGGGTACAGACACAAATCCCCTCCTCCAAAACTTGAAATAGCGCCTTCTGTGAGCAGCTGTTTCCCCAACTGACACTGTCATCCTAAACCTAGTCACATCCTTCCAAGCCCATTGACTTCGACAGACAGAAGGGTGTAATTGCTTAGGAAGGCACCATATCTTGGCAGCTGAAAGAGCTATGCCTGCCCTCAACTTTACCACTGAGTCCACAAACCAGTTAAAATGGAATGTTCTAAGATTAAAGACAGCCAAACCCCTCTGAAATTGGAACTAAGTAAACCTCCCTCCAAATCCTTTGACTTAAAGTGATTTAAAAGCATAATCCGAGAGAACTGTATCTTGTCTTTGGAGAAAAGTGGTACTCAACAAGAAACTGCATGAAGTCTTTACATTGTGGCATACACTATTTCCTCAAATGCAAGACTAGTTTCGGGGGGGTTACCAGGTCAGCCATCGAAAGGGCGAGGAATCATCTATCATTCACATACAAGTTACAGTTACGTCCAGATTTTTTTTAAAAAAATGTGTATAGTTTTTTGTTTTGTGTGTGTGTGTGTGTGTGTGTTTTAGGCAGCTCATCTTATATACAGGACCATGTTACTATTGAGTAAATACAGGTCCCATGAAAAACAATCAAATAAACCTGCATTTCCTTATTTATCTGGTCATTTATAAACCATACTGGCTGCCACATACATACATACATACATACATACATACATACGTGTGTCTGTGTCTGTGTGTATGCATAAAACAGGGCATAATAGGCAATATGACAGCCAGATACAATATCCGGAACCATTTAAAAGCAAAGCAGCTATTTGTGCCTTCTGAAAAGCCAAGTGGAGGAGGAGGAGGAGGAGGAGATTGGATTTATACCCCGCCCTTCACTTGGAGTCTCAGAGCGGCTTACAAACTCCTTTTCCCTTCCCCTCCCCACAACAGACACCCTGTGAGGTGGGTGGGGCTGAGAGAACTCGGACACAAACTGCTCTTTTTCAAGGACAGCTGTGCCAGAGCTTGTGACTGACCCAAGGTCATCCAGCCAGGTGCAAGTGGAGGAGTGGGGAATCAAACCCGGTTCTCCCAGATTAGAGTCCGTACACTTAACCACTGCACCAAACTGAAGTGTTGGTGATGGAAGACCTTCAGCTAACAGGGAAAGCCACTGGGTTGAAAGCAACAACTCACTACTCTCAAGACGGTGACCCCCAACTTTGTACCCACAGGTGACATGATGTCCGCCTTTGCGTTTCATGGCATCCACTTGACTCTTCCCCAGTGTATCTCATCCCCAAGGCAAAGACCAAGTCCGGGCTTTCCTCCACTTCGGTTCATCAGGACATGCTTCAGAAGTACCCAAGAAGCTTCACCTTCATGTCTAACTGGGACAGGGTTGCCAAATCCAGTTTGGGAAATTCCTGGCTATTTGGGGATGGAGCCTGGGGAAGGCGGGGTTTGTGGAAGGGAGGGAACTCAGCAGGCTATAATCATGTAGAGCCCACCCTCCAAGGCAGCCACTTTCCCCCCCAGAGGAACTGATCTGTGTCCTCTGGCAATAAACTATAATTCCAGAAGATCTCCAGGCTCAATGTGAAGGTTGCAAAAAAAAACTGGCAAAAAATGAACACACAAGCAAATAAGCAAGTATATAATGATCAATTAAGCATAACAGCAAGTATAATATAAATCAAATAAGCATAACAGCAAATATAATATAAATCAATTGGCCAAAGTGCAATAATAAAGCATAATAGAAACAAAGTCTACAGTCTTTCCATGTATCTACTCCAGCATAGAAGCAATATCAGAGTCCAAATTGGAGTGAGGGGTGACATGATTGAGGTTTATAAGATTATGCATGGGAAAGAGCAGGTAGAGAAAGATGTACTTTTCTCCCTTTCTCACAATACAAGAACTCGTGGGCACTCCATGAAATTGCTGAGTGGTCGGGTTAGAATGGATAAAAGGAAGTACTTCTTCACCCAAAGGGTGATTAACACTTGGAATTCACTGCCACAGGAAGTGGTGGCGGCTACAAGCATGGACGGCTTCAAAAGGGAATGAGATAGGCATATGGAGCAGAGGTCCATCAGTGGCTATTAGCCACAAGGTATAGATAGGGGCTCTGGGGCAAGTGATGCTCTGTCATCTTGGTGCTTGGGGGGGGGGTCAACAGTGGGAGGGCTTCTAATGTCCTGGCCCCACTGCTGGACCTCCTGATGGCACTGGTATTTCTGGCCACTGTGTGACACAGAGTGTTGGACTGGATGGGCCTTTGGCCTGATCCAATATTGGCATCTCTTATGTTCTTATGTTTTTATGAGTGCAAGTCATCAAATTTTCTGAGCCATAAAAAGCCGACGTGTAATCCGGATGCCTGATGCCGCGTTTCGAATAATTCTTATTCAAGCATGGCTGTAATGGGACCCAGTGTCAAAAGCTGGCATATACTAAGCCAGAATGGTCAGTCAAGGAGGAATAAGGGTCCTTCTCCCCGGCTGCCGTTTTTTTGGTGTGCATGTGGTGCTCACTACCTGTTCTTAAAATGCCAAAAGTGCTCACAGGTTCAACAAGTTGGGGATCTCTGCTCTAAAAGAACAATAAGAGTACCCTTATCTGCTTTTTGGGCAAAACGCGATGGTTTTAGGGAAGAAAAACCATAGAGTTCTGCCCAAAATGCAGAGTGTTGCCACACAACAACCCGATGTGATGACATCACTCCCATGAGATGTCATCATGTCAGGGACATTGTGTAGCGTCCCCACCCCCGGAACACCCCCCCAAATCCCCCCGTCAGCAAGCCGAGGGGACCTGGCAACCCTACCCTGGTGTGAACGGGCACTGCCATCATTCTGCAAAATTCACCATGCTCAGACATTCTTACAGTCCTTGAGTTACTTGGTTGGAAAATAATCTCCCCCCCCCCAAGGAAAGTGCATCTATTTATTTAGTGGTGGGTTTTAGATGAATGAATCTTGGGATGTTAAAGAGAGATTCTCAGAATCACTGGGTATAAATCTAATAAAACACGATTTAGATTATGCTTGGCAACCATAAATGCTGTTGTGAGAAAAATCTAATTCTGGAGCTCCTGGCAGAGCAGCTTGAGTTCAAAAAAACAAAGCCTGAGGAACAGGGCAAAGCGAGGAATGAGAGGACCAATTCACCATGCATATTTTACTAATTAGTTTATTTAATTTATACCCCGCCTCCCCTGCCGAAGCAGGCTCAGGGCGGCTTACAAGGCCATTGGCATCATAAAACAATAAAAATAAATTTAAAATCATAAAACAATCTCCAAAGGCGATTGTTGTCCTGGTCGGCCCCAATGGGGTCCGTTAGAAACCATGGTGAACACTGGAAATGTTTCAAGCCTGTTAATGTTCCCTAACCATCCAATTTGCCTCCCCAATTGCCCAAGCATTCCGTATATTGATTTGGCATCATACAACATAAAGGCTAAAAGATGAATGCAGCAGGTTCCCCGTTGCTGGCTTAAGCCTATCTGCGGTGATTTAAAACATTTGCTTAAAAAAGCCATGCACAAGTGAGAATCTGTACGTGTATGCAACATACGAAACCAGAGCTAGACTTTTCTCGATCTTCACACCCAAGCCATCACCTTCGCATTGCTCCCTGACAGCTTTAAACCAAGTGGTGACTTGCAGCAGATGGCAGAAAGCACAGTTTTTAAGTGGTGTTAATAAGTGCTAAAGAAGGTCCTAAAAAAAAAACCCTCAGCTTTATAGGATTTCATGAAACTCCTTGAAAATGTGACTTATTTTTATCTTGCCACGCAGATGAGATACTTTTGGCAATTGCGAATTCTCTCAAACTTGGGTCTCACTTATTTCCTCACATTGTAGTTGTTGTTGTAGATTTCATGCCCTGGAGAATAAATTCAGGGCAGTAAAGGTGAAACCTCTAATATAGCTCAATGTTACTTTTTGGCCTTTTATGTAAAAAGCAGGGCCTTTTTTGTTGAAAAAGCCCAGCAGGAACTCATTAGCATAATAGGCCACACCCAACAGCAGAAACTCATTAGCATATTAGGCCACACCTCTGACAACACCGCTCATTAGCATACTAGGCCATACCCCCATGTTACCAGAAGTGTGGTCATCCAGCCACACCCATCTTTTGCTTCTTATTCTGTTTACCTTGTTTGTTATCAAAACCCAGGGCCTTTTTTTGGAGCAGGAACTCGTTTGCATGTTAGGCCACACACCCCTAAGGTAGCCAATCCTAATGAGTTTCTGCTTTTGGGCATGGCCTATTATGCTAATTAGTTCCTGCTGGGCGTGGCCAACTCAGGAGCCAGCCGGAACTCTGTTCCTGTGTGTTCCTGCCC